CGCCCCCAAGCCCCAATACCTTCACTCTACCTTGACCTTCGTGAACCTGCACTGTACTTTTAACTTCCCCATGCTCTGCCAGTCCCACTGCCTGGAATGCTCTTCCCCTGGTAAAATTTCTCTGACCCTGCTGTGAAACCTGACTGACGCTTCCCTCAAACCTTCCGCTTACCGCCTGCTCCTGTGATCCCAAAGCACTTCGCTCATAATAACTCTGTAGCCTCCATCTATAGCGCTCCACCTGTGAGCTCCTCTAGGCATCGACGCAGACCCGTGATGAATGAATGACTCTTGTCCCTCCCGCCCCGGGGAACATCCTTCCTCTAACTTCAGTCGCTCGGGCAGCAGCGCACTCGGCAGGGGAGGCTGAGGGTGACGCCTGGCTACGCGCTCGCAGCTGGGACAGCGGGCGGTAGTTGGGCGCGGCCGGGTGAGCCGCGTGGGGTGGGGGTCCGCACCGCCTGGCCCGAGACGGCCCGAGACCCCGGCCCGTGCTGGCTGCTGGCGCCTCTTCACCGCGGTTACCGCTAGTGGCTGCTGTCGCTCGGTGGAGCCCAAGGAGACCGCGGCCAGAGCGTCCACCGCGCAAGATGGTGGCTCCTGTGTCTCCGTGAGTGTGTGCGGGCGGGGCTGGGGCCGGGAGGGGCGCCCCCTTCTGGAGCTGCCCGGCAGGGGGCGGGCGACAGGGGCTGGGGGCCCTGCGGGTGGGCAGCACCCGCGAACAGGGGCCGGCGCCTCCAAGGGATCCATCCGAGGGCTCCTTCCCTACGCGCGCCGCAGAGGAAGTTCCCCAGCCCTACGCGTGCAGACCCCGGGAGGACAGGCCAGGCGTGCAGGGAGCTCCGGCTTCACCCTAGCTGCCAAGGGTGTGGGTGCCCGCCCCTCCTCTGCCCCGAGCGTGGACTCTTTTTTAGTGGGGTCCCCAAAGGGAGGGGCCCAAGAGAGCCTGGGGAGGAGGCTGGGGACCATCATCCTGAGGTCAAATAAACCCTGTTTGAGGCTTATGTGCCCTGGTAGAGTGGGGCAGCAAACCAACACTCCGTTGCCCCAGCGGCCCTCAAGTTGTGCTGGCTTCCACCCAGCTGGCCAGGGTGCAGAGAAGTGTGAGGGACCTGGGTCTGCGATCCACATCAGCCTTGGTCATATAGTCACGTTGTCTTTACACCCCACCCCACCCAGCCTAGTTCCCTCAGGTTGAGATGGGGAAAGTCAATGGCTTTTGGGGTGTGTGTGTCTGTCTGTTTGTCTGTCTGTTTTGAGTGGCGCTGTCCAACAGAACTTTCTCGGTTATTGTAAAGGTTCTCTATCTGGGCCATCTGATACAATAGCCACTAGCCACATAGGGCTATTGAGAATTTGAATTGTGGCTAGTGTGACTGAAGAACTGAATTTTAATTCTGATTAATTTTAAACAGCCACATTTGGCTAGTGGCTACCATATCAGACAGTGCAATTTCAGAATCTCCATCTTCCCATGCATCCTTCCTATCTACTCTTTTGCTCTTTTATCAAAAACATCTTAGGTCTCATAGTTATTTTATCCTCTGCAGAATGAGGCAGGAGAGCCAGCTTCTAGGTATGTGGAAAGGATCTGACAAACTTCCAGAAAGGTATCACCTCGGTTTTGTGCCTCCTCTCCATTCTAAGACCCTTTGGGTGGTGGGTTGGACAAGGTCACAGAATCATGGAATCTTGGGAGGAAAGGATGTCAAAGGCAGCTGTTTTAGCCACCCAACAGGTGCCCAAGGGCTCTCTCCACTGCTCTCTCTGCCTGAGAACTCATGCTTCCTTACTCATTTGATACCTAAACTTTGTGGAGCACCTGCTGAGTGCCAGGTCTATTCCCTTCTCTGGGGTTCAACAGGAAGCCACAGGGAATGAGAGAGACAGAGACAGAGACAGAGACAGATAGAGAAGCAAAGAGAAACAGAGGCACAGCAACAGCAAGCAAAAGAACTGCACAGAAATAAGCAGACTTGTAAACTGTGGGGAGTGCGGTGGAGGTAACAAATGGGATATTGACAGGAAAGAAGGGGACTTCCTAGGAAAGGATAATTATTGAAGCCTTCTCTGAAAGGGATGGTTAGCTAAAACTTTTGAGGAAGTAGAATAAGCAAAGTGTCAAGAGGGAGGATGGGAACATTCTGGAAGAAAGCACAACAGATAGAGAAGCAAACAGAGAAACAGAGGCACAGCAACAGCAAGCAAAAGAACTGCACAGAAATAAGCAGACTTGTAAACTGTGGGGAGTGCGGTGGAGGTAACAAATGGGATATTGACAGGAAAGAAGGGGACTTCCTAGGAAAGGATAATTATTGAAGCCTTCTCTGAAAGGGATGGTAAGCTAAAACTTTTGAGGAAGTAGAATAAGCAAAGTGTCAAGAGGGAGGATGGGAACATTCTGGAAGAAAGCACAACACGTGCACAGGCGCTGATAATGGGAATCTGGCACTCTGGAGGAAACATGAAAAGGCCACTGTAGCTGAAAGGGGAGGGAGACACAGTGGCTGCCAGTGAGGTCAGCAATGCCTGGGCATTTGACAGGCCTAGAAAGAGATTCTGGCACTGGCCTCAGATCAACAGGCAGAAGTGGAGAGGTTTTAAGCAGTGGTTTTTAAAGCACCCTCTGGCTGGTGGGGTCTGAATGGCTCAGAAATGGGTAAGGATAGAAATCCAGAGTGCCACTGGGAAGTGACTGATGTAGTCCAGACAAGAGATGAAGGTGGCCTGGAAGAAGATGGTGACAGCAGCATGGAGAGAAAGGATGAGTTAGAGATGGAATCAACAGGATCTGGGGATGGATCAAGTGCTGAATGTGGAAGGGAGTGGGGCTTAGAGGGGCAGGTTTTTGGCCATAGCACCTGGGTGGAAGATGGGCCATTTCCTGGGCTGGGGACAATTAGGAGAGGAGCATACTTTGTAAGGACAAATTGAGAGTTCTATTTAGACAAGCCAGGAAGATGGCTGGATGGAGAGGTGTGGTACCCGGAGGAGTGGCCCAGGCTGGGGTTGTGTATTTTGGAGTGGCCAGAAGAGATGGTTCTGGTCTCTTTGGACAGTTCGAGGTTGGGAAGAGGAGATGGAGATGACAACACAGGCTGAGGACTGGCTGGCCGATGGGGGGAAGGAAAACCAGAGAAGGTGGAGTCTCGGAAACCAAGAGGAAAATGTGTTTCAAGGAGGGCGTGGCGAGCAGTATCAAATGCCCCACAGAGTCCAGGGGAAGAAGATCAATGTATTTTGCTCACATCTGGCAGCACGAGTGCCTTTTCTTACACTGAATGGGCTGCCCTTGGAATCCTACTCATCTGCCCTTATTTTACCCACCCACTAAGTGCCAGGTTCCACGTAAAGTGCTGGATATAGTATCAGATGGACAAGGTAGTTACTGCTTTCTCAGAGCTTAGACTCCTCTAGACAACAGCCTCAGAAACAGAAAGTTCTTTCACATAGCCAAAATAAATCCTTTCATTCTTTTAAACAACCAGCTTTTGCTGAGAGGTATCTGCATGCCTAGTCCTATATAGGGACTTGAAGATCCGAAAATGAACAAATGTGATCTTGGCCTTCCAGGAACCAAGTACAGAGGTGCACAGAGAATCCCAGCATTCGCTGTGCACAGGGGATTATGGGAGACTAGAGGGCAGGTATCAGCCCAGGGGATGTCTGAGCAGCTCTCCAGGAATGAATGGGAATTAGCCAGGAACAGAGAAGGGGTAGGGAATTCCAGGCACAGAGAGATGAAGGCAGGAGCAAAAGTAGCAGTAATGTGTGTGGAGAATGGTAAGCGTTTGGAGTTGGCTGAGCAGACAGGAATGCTGGGAGGCTCTGCAGGTGTCCAGAGGCTGGTGGGGGCAGGGCAGGCAGCCCCACTGGCTCATGGTGAGGTGTATAGACTTAAGCAACAGAACACCATTGAAGAAGTGGAAGCAAGGGAGTGACATAGTTGGATCTGTGTGTAGCCTTGCTCTCCAGCTGCTGTGTGAGGGATGAATTTGAGGGGATGACTGCAGAGGCGGAGGTAGCTGCATAATCCAGGTGAGATGGTGCAGACCAGAGTCACGGTGTGGCCTGTGGGGTCAAGATGACTTGAGGTCTAATTCTGCCTCAGCCACTTAATGTTTGTGGAACCTTGGGTGAGTCACTTAAAGTCCCTGAGCCTTGGTTTCCTCCTCTCTAAAATGAGAATACCACCCCGAGAGAGTCCTTGCAAGAGGAATCTTGGTCTTCTCTCGGAGTCACTGCAAAGTATGTAGCACAGGGCCTGGCTCTGTTCATGCTCGATAAATGGCAGTCCCTGCTGTTGTTATTAGTAGTCATGGAGAAGAAGGGACAGGTTTGAGAAATAATTAAGTGGCAGAGTTGCAGATTTTGGCCATCAGCTGGACATGGCTTTCTGGTCCTGAACTGCTCATCCTGGCTTTGTACCCAGGGTGGTGGTAGAGTCAGGGAAGTAGCAGCAACCAGCTGGGTGCCTTCAGTCTGGGGCCTAGCCCCAACTTCTGGACTGTCCTTCCCAGAACCACACTACATGTGTGTTTGTGTGTGTGCGCGTGTGTCCGCAAGCATGCACACCCATTTGTGCATTTAGGGAAGGGAGTTCCAGAGAAAACAAATCCTGTTTCTTGGTCTGTGGCTCTGAAAGCTCAGCTTTGTGCTGACTTCCATCTGATGAAATAAATGACTGTGAACTGGAGGGACCAGTCATCTCCCGGGTGAGGAGTCAGGAGGTCCTAGGTTTCTTTTTTGTTTTTACACTTATAGCACCTGGTCTTCCTAGGTGGTCTCCCATCCAAGTACTAACCAGGCCTGACCTTGCTTAGCTTCTGAGATCAGACGGGATCGGGCTTGTTCAGGGTGGCATGGCTGTAGACAGGAGGTCCAAGGTTTTGTTCTGGCTCAGCTACAAATTATTCATGAGTCCTGAGAACCACTCTGTCTCTGAGACTCAATTCCCCTACCTATAAAATATGGTTGCATAGACAGTGCCAGTCTTTCCATAAGTCAACTCTAATCAATACCTTGTCCTGGATGGAGGGAGACCCTGGGAAGAGATGCTGAGACTCACATACCTCCCCACTTTGGATAAGAGTCTGTGGCCCTTTGCATGACCCTGCCCACTCCCAATAGCCCTTTCCCATTGGGTCTGGTCTGCCCCTCAGCTGGGGAATGCTCTGTGGGCAGTGTGACCCCATGGTGGACTCCCTAACACCCCTCCCTTGTCTCTTTCATCTCCAGTCTCCCACCGGTGGAGCAGGAATAAACTTTCTCAGCTAAGTTAGATGGATGGTCCCCATTAGCCTGGCGGGCTGCCCCTCTCCTGCTTCCCCACCAACTCCCTTTGTCAAGGGAAGTGCCTCTGTGTGAGGAAGAAGCTGGGGGCAGAAGCATTTGGGTGGGGGTTGAGGGTTCCCTGCCCCTTGAGCAG